CTCTTATTTTGAAGGGAAGATACTATGTTCCCCTTGCTTTCATTTCCCGTCAGTCCGTCATGTACCCAGAATGCATCGCTTCAGTTTTCCAATAAACAGTTTTAAAATTACTTTATTGATGCTTCTTTAATGAAAAATCTACAACAAACAAAAGAAAAAGACAAAGAAGCAGCCGAACTAGCAATCCTCAACAACTTCTTGATTTTTACACCAGGAGCCAAGGTCTGTTTCATGAAATCACATCCCCAGCAATCAGCAGTTGTAGAATTAAGTTGTACAAGGAATTATTGCCAGCTAGTAAGTGTCAAATTGAACTTGCACTTTAAAATGAGCTTCTGCTAGTTTTTCTTTGGCATTAGTGCTTTTTAATTTCCGGACCTAAATATTTTCATAAGCGCTTTAGAAATTGCAGAGCTAATTTTTGGATTAGCACTGCCCACCACTGTTTATATGTTAACAAGAATTTTTATTATAGACATTGTTCTGTGAACAAGACCCCGAGATACTTAAACTCCTCCACCTGGGGCAGGACCTCCTCCCCGACCTGGAGGAGGCAACCCTTTTCCGGCTCAAGACCATGGTCTCGGATTTGGAGGCAATGATCCTCATCCCGGCCACTTCACACTCTGCTGCGAACCGCTCCTGTGAGGGCTGGAGATCACGATCTGATGGAAGAGTGTCCAACCCCTCTCAAGGAGACTGGTTCCAGAGCCAGAGCGGTGCATCGAGGTGAGTCCAACTATATCTAGTTAGAACCTCTCAATCTCACACACCAGCTCAGGCTCCTTCCCCACCAGAGAGGTGATGTTCCACGTCCCTAGAGCCAGCTTTTGTGGCTGAGTATCGGACCGCCAAGGTCCTTGCCCTCGACCACTGCCCAACACACATTGCAACCGACCCCTACGGCCCCTCCCACAGGTGGTGAGCCCATAGGAAGGGGGACCCATGTCTCCTCTTTGGGCTGTGCCCGACTGGTCTCCATGGGTAAAAACCCGGCCACCAGGCACTCACCAACTTGCCCCATCTCCAGGCCTGGCTCCAGAGTTGGGCCCCGGTGACCCGCGTCTGGGCAAGGGAACACTCAATCCATTTATGCCACTCATCATTGGGGTCTTTGGGCTGCGCTTTGTCTGATCCCTCACCTAGGACCTGTGTGCCTTGGGTGACCCTACTGGGGGCATGAAGCCCCCGACAACATAGGTCCTTGGATCATTGGGAAACTCAAACCTCTCCACCACAATAAGGTGGCAGCCCAGGGAGAGAACAGGTCTGTCGTGGTGAAGCGAGAGCTGAGCCAGAAGACGAAGCTCTCGGTTTACCGGTCGGTCTACGTTTCTACCCTCATCTATGGTCACAAGCTTTGGGTAGAGACCGAAAGAACGAGATCGCGGATACAAGCGGCTGAAATGAGTTTCCTCTGCAGGGTGCCTGGGCTCTYCYTTAGAGATAGGGTGAGAAGCTCAGTCATCCAGGWGGGACTCAGAGTAGAGCCGCTGCTCYTCCAYGTCGAGARGAGCCAGTTGAGGTGGTTCATCTGGTCAGGATGCCTCCTGGACGCCTCCCTGGTGAGGTGTTCTGGACACGTCYCACTGGGAGGAGGCCCAGAGGAAGACCCAGGACACGCTGGAGGGACTATGTTTCTCGGCTGGCCTGGGAATGCCTGGGATTCCCCCAGAGGAGCTGGTCCAAGTGGCTAGAGAGAGGGAAGTCTGGGTCTCTCTGCTTAGGCTGCTGCACCCGAGACCTGACCCCAGATAAGTAGTAGAAAATGGACGGATGGACATTGTTCTGTTTTAAACTGAAAATAGACAGTCAATAAATTATATTTAGGCCACATTTTCT